GTGTTAGTTCAGCAGCGTCCCGCCGGCGCGTGCCGCTGCCGACGCGCACGCCCAGCCGCGGCGAATGCCACGCGGGCCCGCCCTCTGCGGTCCGGCGGCGCGCATTACCGAGCATCATTCATCGATCCATTCGTTCATCATCCACCATGTGCCGTTGGCACATGCAAGGTGCAAACCCACTCCCTTTGAGGGCAGACACCTAGAGCTGTAACTCGTTCCGATTGACGACACCGCCTGAACACGATCTGAAGAACAACATCAGCATATTTAAAACATTGATAGACCACTAGGCTAAGTGGGCTATCGTTGTTGGCAAGGCCCTTGTGGTGCAGGCAAGCAGCACGCGCATTCAGTCACAAATTTAATCCGAACTGCCAGGCCTATGTATTGCACAGCCCGGCCCCTGTACTGCTGCCTGAATTCAGCATATGGCGATAAAAGCCAACATGACAATCAGCCGCATCTGCACACCTTGACCACTTGACCAACGTCACGTGTGAGCAATACAAACAACAGGCCCTGCATAAACATGTCAAGGAGTTGCGCCCACAGGCACCTGCTGGCAAAAGTGCTCACGCGGTGCGGCAGCCTGTCGCAGCTCTCCAGGCGCCTGCAAACCCATCAAATCATAAGCCGCAACCACCTGCCCAGCCTGCCATGGTGAAAACAGCGGCGTCATGCGTGCGGTGCAGCGCCTGTGTTCTGAAATCAGGGCTTGCAAAGCCGCCTCCAACGCCCGGACTGCAACCCAGCAGTCATCACCGCCGCTGCTGCTGCCGGCGCCGTTGCTCCCGCTGCTGCTGCTGCTGCTGCTGCTCCTGCTGGTTTTGCTGCCTCTGAACGGCCCTGCCGGCTGTCGCGTTGCACCTGGTCCTATGCCGTCCGCCGCCCCAGCATGACTGGACAGGGCGGCGTCGCGCTCACCGCTGCCGGCGCAACCAGCGACGACAGAGCTGCTGGCGGTCTCTGCGTCCCTGACCCGCTCCACGCCGCCTGGCCCTCTCAAGATGGGCCGCACGGCTTGCGCCCAGCCCGCAGCAGCAAGTAGCGCGGGTGCCACCTGCGCCCGGCCTGCCGCGGAGCCAGCCGTCTCGCCGCCCGCCGCAGTCAGCCCCGGCTGTCGGGCTGCCGGCATCCGCTCCCGTGCAGGCGGCTGTTCCTCGGCCGGCCGCAGCTGCAGCCTCTCAGCCAACCCCGCGATGCCAGTAGCTGCGTGTGTAAGGCTCACCGGGTTCCAGCTCGGCAGCTGCTTGGTAGCTGCATTCAGGCAGGTCACGATTGGCGCCGCAAGCCAATCTGCTGACTGCCCGCCTTCCAAGACCTGAGGGCCCTGATTCTGAGGCAGGTGGGCAGGGAGAAGGCGCGGCAGCGCCCAGAGCGCGTTTGCCAGCGCCTGTGGCTCCGCCTGGCCGGCGGCCGCCAGCTCGGCGAGCCGCCCCAACAGCGGCGGCAGCCACCCCGCGTCCGCCCTCCGCCCGGGCGGCTGCGCCGACGGCGGCGGCGCGCGCCGCCCGCAGCACCAGAGCAGGCTGCCGATCGCGTGCGCGCCGATGTGCGGCGCTTGCGCCGCAGCTGCAGCGCATGAGAGCTTCAAGAGCCCTACAGCGGCCACGCCTCCACCCCTGTCGCTGCCGCTGCTCCCCAGCACAGCCGCCGCGTGCGCCATGTGGACGGCGTCCTCCGCCCGCAGCTGCCCGGCAGCTGCCAGCGCCTCGGCCCGCTGCCGTACCGCCAACCACCAGCCCGCCGCGGGCGCGTGGCGGCTGCGCTCGAGGCCGCGGCAGGCGCGGCCGAGGCTAAGGCCGGAGCAGTCGTGCAGCGACGACAGCACGGCGCGCTCGAGGGCGGCGTGCAGCTGCGGCTGGCGCGCGCCGAGGAGCCCGAGGCTGTGACAGGTGGTGGTCGCGCTGCGGGCGTCGAGCTGGTGCGCGTGCGGCAGCATCAAGGCACAGACCTGGAGGAGGGAGGGGGCAGGGGGCGCGTACGGAGGGCGCAAGGGGCGTTGCGTGGGTGGGCGGTTGGGTGGCGGCGAGCAGTGGGTTGAGAGTTGGGCAGGAGAGGGGCGGCTGTGCTCGGTGACGCGGCGCGGTGCGAGGAATGCACAAAGACATTGATTGTGCGGTTGACGTCTGGGTATCACAGAAGTACTGCGCACCAGGCAACGCTACGGGCACCACCCAAGCCAGCAGCAGGAAGTTGAGGGCTCTGCTGGAAAGCGCCCCGCTGGGTGTCGGGGCCAACGCAATGAAGCCGGCGCCGGCAGCCGAGAGGCCTGCAGACGGCGCAGCCCCCACCTGGTCAGCCAAGCTCAGTACCAGCTCCCGCCGCACCGCGCCCGCCGCGCCCGGCGCCGGCAGCAGGCGCGCCAGCTGGACCAGCAGCGCCGACGAATGGATGCCGCTCAGCCGCCCGCGCCTCGCGGCGCGGCCGCCGACGCCGGCAGTGCCGGCGGAGTTGTCCTGCCAAGGATCGGTTGGCGCGGGCGCACCGTCCAGAGGGCCGCGCAGCGCCTCGCCCGATCTGGTTGCGGCCGCAATCAGCTGCTCGATTTCCGTCAGGTCAGTGATCCGGGATATCCGCCCCGTAAGCTCGCGGCTGCGCCGGTGGGCGGCATGGTAGCCGCGGCGCGTGCCGCTGGGCGCCACCAGGGCGGGGGCGCTGCACAGCAGGGGGAGGGGCATGCAGGCCGCCCGCGCTGGCGTGCGGAGCGTGCAGGGGCTGACCATGCGGCCGTCCTGCCAAGGCTCCTGCTGCTGCTGCTGCTGCTGCTGCTGCGAGTGTCGCCGCCACTGCTGCTGCTGCTGCTGCTGTTGCTGTTGCTGATTATGATGATGTTGCTGCACTTCCTGGCATACAATTGCTGATGTTTCAAGACGCAGCCCTGCTGCACATAGCTTCAATGGCAACCTCATCCCGTGTCCCAACACGCCGCCTGGCCACTGCCCCCAGTATTGCCCGAGCAGCTGCAGCAGCCTCTGGGTAACCTGATAGAGAAAGAGACCATGCAAAGGAGGGAGCAGACAAAGGATTGAAGTGGGGAGGAGCTTCCGTGTGGCCACGTGGCAATGCAGGTGAGCAGCGGCTGCTGTTGTTGCGAGGGGGTGCAGCAGTAGTCGCAGCAACACAGCATGGCGGTCAGGTGCACGAAAAAAACGCCATATCAACACCATATCATTGTGATGCGGAAAAGTACCCTCATTTGCGCCGATCGCTCTTGTACAGCACTGTACACGCCTAGAGAAGCCCACGACGATCTCTGCTGGTGCGACAAGAACGTTATCAATTCCTTGTATCCTAGCATTGTACAGTGTAGTCCAAGGAGCCGTGTGTCATGCGTAAGGACAAAACACCCGGACAACATTTTGTCACTTACTGGTGCAGAGTGACAGCCTCGCCAAGGTGTGATAGCAAGACGACAGCGTTGGCATAGGTTCAACACAAACTTGTTTCCCGTCACCAACGAAACAGCAGTCGTTCCTGCTCGGCGGTGAAGCAGGCCGTGATGACGCGGGGCCGCAGGGCAGCGCTGGCTATGGCAGCCGTGCTGCTGACGTGCGCTAACTTAATAGGCGCTCATACATTCGACGCCAGAGAGGGCCGCAACACACGGTGAGTTTGATCTGCGACATGAACGGTGGTGCGTGCCTGCTTGCAAAGCAGGAATTTAACAGCAGCGGCAAGCGCAAACATACCACTGCATCAAGCAGTGACATCCGCCAGGTTGCGCCAGGTTGACAAAGCGCAACGCAGTGCTGGCCACCTTGACCCACTTCCCGCCCGCTGTGCGGCCATCCTGCAGCGCACTGCTGGCCACCCCAGCAGCGGCACCGCCCACATCGCCGTCGCCGCTGCCTTCGGCGTCCCCCGCGCCCGAGGGTGCTGTGAGGCGGCCTATAGGCATCCTGGCAGACATGTTCCACGCACGGAAGGGCGGCTGGAACTGGGACGGGCGCAACATCGCAGGCATCTTCATCAGCATTCTGGTGCGTCGCCGCACACGCGCCGCGACCACGTCTGCGCCCTATGGCACCGGCGTGCGCACTCGAGCCGCCCCCGCTCCGCCGGAGGCGGCACCGCGCCCTGCCCCTACGGCGTGGGTTTAAGCGGCAGCTTTCAGACCGCGCAAGCTCGGCACACACACCCCCAACCCCCACC